CAGCTTTGCTTACCTCAGTTGTACGCTCTTCTGTCCAATAGCCTTGGATAGATAAACAAGTGAATGGACAGACTGCATTCATTTTAACTGCTCTGTTTAGACTGATGAAGTTACTGTTACTAATTAGAAGACATTACAATGGTTCTGCATCCAGTGGCAGCACTGCATGAAATGACTTTAGCAGACCTCAAGTTTTATTCCTTTCCCTGTGCTACCATAGCCTGTGCCAAGTGTACAGAACCTAGATTAGGGAATAAATCTGCTCAAAATTTAACTGCCACAGGCAGATTGGTTATTCTATTTCTAGTCTTAAGTATCTTAACTGAGAAATACAAGGTCTTTTAAGGACTGCTGAATTACAAAGCCTATGGATTTGTGTCCACAAATCCACTGCAGGCCCTGTCCACCACAGGCAAAAGCTTAAGGGCTCTGACAGCTGAGCTTAAGTTATTTCATGACAGCCTATTACTCTCAGCTAACAGCTCCATCCTCTCCAGGAAGACACCTTTCTCATGGCAGAATGGGTGCTGGGGCTTCAGCTGCTCCCTTCCACTAGGTTACAATGCACCAAACACAAGTTCATGACAAGGTGTCAAAACACAAACTGAGGGGCTGGATACAACCCAAGTTGTAAACTCCCTTCAAGAGTTTCATTTAATCTCCAAACAGTCCTCCTTCCCCCTTTCAGCAAGGGGTAAAAAACCACCCAAAATAAACAAAACACCCTAAAACAAACAAAACAAGGACTACTGAACCCACGTATTCCTTCCTTTTATAAAGAAACTCTGACAACATAACAGTAAAAGCAGACTAACAGGGATTTTTAAAGTCTTTAATTCTTCTGCATAAAGACACAACACCAAAAATGTAACACGTTCCCTTATTTACAATCATCATAAATCACGTGAAAGCATGCACACTGAAACAAGGTTCTAAATATTACTTCTTAAAAAAGTGCTGTACAGATATGTTCCTCGTATACAAACACTCCCTGCTCTGTGGTGTGTGACTGACCCACCCTTGTGCCAGGACACTACTGAACCCCATGCTTGAAAATAATGTTTTGGAAAGGACTGGAAGTACGTTTCTGGGGAAGCAGCTTACTTCCACATCAGTAGCACAATGGGCTTTTGGCCGCTGGGCACACTGCCAGCCCCACAGTAACATTGCTGTGTGCCATCCCTAGCACTGCCACAGTTCTGCAGTGGCCTTGCAAAAAGCCAAACCAAACTCCTGCAAAGAGACAATTCCCAGCTCTAACAGACATTTGTATCCCAGTTCGTGCTACCTAAAATGCCACAAGGACTGTAAAAAATTCTTGGAACTGGCACATGCATCTGGTCCAAACTCCACTGTAGCCACAGCCCTCATTTTGACCTTCTGAGCACAGTGCTAGAAAGAGTAAAACAAAGGAGAGCCTATCTCGACACCATCACAACTCTTAGCCTGGACACCCCATGCCCAGAGCAGCTCCAAACCTGCAAATACTGCTGCTCACCTCCAATTCCTGTAGGAACAGCAGGCACTGAACTCATCTTATACTCTTAGCAGCAGATTGGCTCTTTGGGTCAGGTTGCACCACACATAAAAGCAAAATCCAGGTATTTAGACTGTGTTGCTGTTCAGTCACTCATCCCTTAAAGAGAGGGATCTGATTTTGATAAACCATCTACCTTTCCTTTCTCTTCCCTTGCTAGGGTTAGGCAAATGCTAGCTTAATATATCTTATCTCAGAGAACGGTAAATAAGCCAAATGTATGATCATCCAATCCAAAAAGCTAAGAACAGTTTGTCTTTAAGAACTGGAGAAAGGCTGAAGTTATCTACATTCTTTTGAAGCATTTCTTCAGGTTGGATGTACAATTCTGGTCCAGTAGAGGATACAGGGTTTAACTCCCTGGTTTAAGGGGTAGCATTCTTCAGTTTGACTTGATATTGGACCAGTTTGCCAGCATAACATAGGCACGCTCTAAGTAGGCATGGTCTCCAAATGGCAACAGCAGGATCCATCAACTGAAGTAGCCTTTACAATATGATGCACGTGTCATCTGCCAACACAGGTACAGCAGAAACATTCTCACAAAAGCTTCAAGGAACATCCATCATCATTGTAGCGTAGGTTTAATGAAATCTGAAGTTTTACACTTGAGGCAGAGCTTGCAGAAAACAATCTATCCTTAAAGATCTGGAGAAACCTAAATAAAAACGTAGATAACAGTGTTTTATAAATATGATATATCTAGTCATTAACAGCAAAACATTTATGCTTTTAAGCTTCAGTGTTATGTTAGAAGTAAATAGAGCACTGATACGGTGAGCTTAAAGCACAGTATAAAAGACAAAGCCATACTGTCCATACTAAAGAAAGTGTTACAGACAGTACGAACACTTTGTTTTTCCAATAACTTAGGTTCTCAAAGAGAGTACTACATACCCTATATTCCTAAAGTATTTGTCAAAGAAAAAATGAAGCAGTTGAGCCTACCCTTCCCAACCCCTTGCATCATCTTTGCCTAGATGTCATTATTAATTCATAAAATAATTAGAATTGAGAGAAAAATATAAGACATTCCTGCCATATCTTAAGTGTCCTATTGACTAAGGTTTTTTCCTTTAGAAAGCAACCAGATACATTCAAACTTATGGACATATAACTGGGCTCCACAACAGCCACAATTATTTTTCCACTTTAAGACAGACATCATCTTTTTGCAAAAATGCAAGTGGTGTGGGATTCTACCATGTAACCCACTATCTGGTTTCCAAGCAACATTCACTTTCCACAGATAAAGTTCCTCCCATTTGAGAGTTAGAGCTCATCAGACCTAAAAACCATGGTTAAAGGCAGCATCTCTCTAAATACTGATCTTTGGACCCCAGGAAACCAATGTGTTGCTCCACAGAGAAGCTATTTAATTCACCTTCTATCATAGAAAGATTTTTTCAATTAGAATGAGTGATTACAAACCCACTGAATATATACACTCCTTAGTAGAGCCTTATTTACAACAAAGACAACTGCAAAGCAGCTAACTATTTAGAAGATCAGAAAGGCTCTCAACTGTGATGTAGATGCATGCTGCTTTTACCTGCACATTTCACCTTATGTTGATTGTACATACGCTGACTGTAAATCTCGTCCTCTTTCAGCGCGGATCTTACGTGACTGCACCAATTTTCCAAGATTTGATCTGCTGATCTCAGACTACATCACTATTCTTCAAATTGTTTTCTGTCACAGGAGAAAGTCCTCTTTCTTCGATACTTCTATATACAAAGAAAGACTAGATATTTTCAAATATTGAATTAGGACTTTAGAAAAGTGAATCCATATTAAGTCTTATTCATGCTCAAAGAATAAAAATCAATAAAGTCAACAGAAAAATGCCATTAGCACAATTTTTTTTAAAGCTCTACCTTTTCCTCACATTTCTAGAATTCAAAATCTAAGTAGTGTAAAACTCTGTGCCATATTCTTAAGGAGTTTTATTATGCAAAATATTCAAAGATCACTGTTCAACAGACATTTTTATCTTAGTCTATGATGTTTCAGAGTCTTCATTAAACATAGATGAAAGACAATCAAATTACACAAAAGACTATCTACTAATAAAAGCTGTTTGACTCAAGATTACTACCCATCCTATTAATGTACCACAGGAATCTACAGTCCAAAAGAAAATTTTCATTGAAATCTACTGCTGCGAATGCAAAGCTGTGACTTCATCACAGAAATATTAAGAGGCAGAAAAGCTGCTACTGAAATAAATAAAAAACCTGGTACTTTTCATTTGGGATATAAAAAATGTTTTCTGACTGAACAGGTAAATATTTCAATTTACTAAGTCTGAAGTATCAGATCTTTTAATTAGGGGGCTGTATTAAATACAAGAGGATAGGATAAAATCCTAATACACAAAAAAAAAGGAATAAAAGAGAAACTGATCTGAACTAAACAGCTGGACTCCACTGAATGACACTGCAAATGGGCTACTGAAACAGAACAGGTAAAACAGTCAGCATGAACTCACCTTGGTATTTAAATTTTTTTCCTCATTATTCTATCTTCAGGACTTGCACTTCCCCATCCCCTTTCAGGGTATTCTGACTGATGTCCTTCCAATAAACTGCTACAAAGTTTAAGCCTACAAATAAAGAAACCCCCCAAAGACTAAATGCCTTTATTATGGTAACGTTTTTATACTAAATACAGCTACAACCTGCTATTTACTCTAATACAGACTACAGCATGAGACAGGAAAGAATTTTGCCACACAACATATAAATATTGGCCAACACATCTCTAAGAAGAATAGTTTAAAAAAACAAACAAACAAACAAGCAAGCAATCAAAAAACCCAACTATGTTTAGAATAAAAGCTTGGGGATTGAAATACAGCAATAAAGCAACTATGCTTCTAACCTATTACACAAAAAAAAGCCCCTGATAAGTGGCATTTTATACCTCTCTAGCTTGCAGTCTGTATCTCTGCACGTTCTGCTGTCAGGCAGAAAGAAGTTCTGTTTTTTCTGCTTCTGATTGTTCCATCCTGAAGAACAACTGGCTAGCATTGGGTCACTGCATAAAAAAAGTAACTATCACTGTTGTCAGCTACAAAACAACTTAATCTCATAGAAGACAAGACAGGAAGCTTTCAGCTCCTAGGCTGAGGAAGTAAGGGCTAGTAACAACCATGGGGATGAATCCTGTAAAATGGCATTGCTTTCCGTAAGACAAAGAGGGTGAAAGGTGCTCACCATCTTCCAGCATCACTTAATGGCAGAAGCAGCAGAAAGCAATAGATGGAGAGTCAGACTGGAAAAAGCCAAGTAAACTCAAAGAACAAAAATAACCACCAAACTTACCACACGTTGGAGGAAATGTATGGAGAAAAAAAAAGTATTAAACAGTGAAGGAAAAGAAAGATTAAAAAAGCAAAGGACACCTTCACAGCACAAGCAATAAACAGAAAGATCATCATAATCATTATGGTATTTACCTTGTTATTTCTATACCGTGTTGTACTGTCATTACTTCATCGTTTTCACCAAAGGCTTCCCACTCTGAGCACTTTGAAAAAGCCTCCTGATGTCCTGATTCAGTAAAACTAGAAAGAAAGAGAAAAGGTTTGAAACCATGGACCTTTGTAACACAGTTCCTCTTAATTCTTCTGAAGATAAAGGGGCTAAGTAGAGGGGAAAAACACACACCTGTATAAACATTTTTACTAAGAGTAGTGTGAAAAGTCTACTAAACCCCAAAAAACTTAAATAATTGTTCCAGTTTTCTTGTGGTTCTGACAAAACTTTGTATAGAGTTAAACCATGCTCTCCTCTACGTAGCCTATCATTTCTCATTTATAGCAAGACTTCTTATGCAGCAGCTAGGAAAGGGGAAAAAAGGAAGTATGATTAAGACCAATCGCTAAAGGATAGTTTAATTCCTGAACAACTTAGAATAAAGAAGGTGTTAGCCTGAAAATCTCTACCCTTCTGTTAGCTATTTCTGAATATTAACCTCACTCTGTCCCAGTCCTGGCTGGGTGACCAGTTCCTTGTTCCAACAAGCATTTTCTTCCATACCATCTTTCATAAGGCAGAGAAAAGCTTAATCAAAATACACAAAGCTTCTTTCACATCCCTTCATGAATACACATTCCCTGTAATACCTGTAGCAAACGTAACACGTTAATAATTAAATAGCGAACAATGGAACTCGCTGCCTGACAGACTTATGAGGGCACATTGGACTCCATTCCCTTACCGTAACGTTCATCAACTTGTACACACTCTGCATGCCAAAAAGCAGAACACAGTGCACTTAAAAGGTATGAGAAATAACTATGGTAGATGCCTAACAATTTCAGAATTACAACCTCTGAAGCAGAAACCAAGTTCCATGAGAAATCAGGAACAACACATTAGCGTTGCCTAAATCTACACACAAAAAATAACCTATGTTGTGTGTTCTGACACTGAAGTTTCTTCACCTTTGCAATGGACCACTGTAAATACTTGCTATGATAGAACACAATTATTCTGGCATAATTTCCCTTCCTCATTAAATTGCACACACGTTTAGATAAAATTAGAACTATTAACAAATGGAGGGATAAATAGCAATCATATTCCAAAACTCGGTTCATAATACCAATGAATCTCCATTCATTTCATACCTTTCCAGTGTGTGGTACATATGCACATAATGGTTTTTGCTCTTTGAAACCAGAGAGGAGTCAGAATTGTTTCTTTTTCTGCGTTTCCATACTGGAGAAGAATCAGGAGAACTGGGACTACAAAAATAAGGCATAGATTTTACACATCTAACATTTTTCACTTGTATTTAAATGCTTATCAGAGTTCTGCAAAATAATGGCATACACTACACAGGAAGATTTTTTTCTGAGGTACAATTCTTCAGCCACAACAGAGCAACACAGAGAAAGTGACTCAAATTCTGGTAACCACTCCATTGTATTTTGGGAAATGAACCCAGTCACAGTCACCATCACAGAAGAAACTTGGAAGCAGAACCATTTTCAGCTCCACATGCATGCCCCCAGATCAAGATCTCTCAGTAAACAGGGAAGTGCCTGAGGTGCTTCACTGTTAGTCTCCCTGCTGTTCTGCAGACAGGCATAATACTGTTAATTAAGGATAGTCACTCTTCCTTCTGAAAAAGGGTATCCTACTTTCAGCACTTGCCAACAGTGGTTAAAGAAACCTCAGTACTCCACTGTATAAACAGAGAAGCTGGGAAAACACTGCCTTTTTCTGCTGTTAATCGTGCAATTCTGTAACGATAATTTTTCCAGATTCAATGCTCTGTACCAGTGATAAATTACACTGAACAGCAACAGTGCCAAACTTCAAAGCTGAGCGTTAACTGCCTTCCCTCATTAAATATTTCCTACAAAAAACCTGACAGCATCAACAAGTATTGCATTATTTCTGTAAGTTAACCACAGAAGTTTTATCTTGTACCTCTCCGGTGTGTAGTCAGTCTGTCTGCATTCATCTTCAAACTCATTTCTCTTCTGCTTTTCATCAAATACAAAGGAGCCAGAAACATCCTGATCTTTGCTGAACCATTCCTGGGAACTGCCTACGGGTTCTGTACTACTAAAAACAGGAGGGGAAAAAAAAAAAAAAAAAGATTTAAAATACTACCCATCTAGCTTACCACTCCAAGCAGAAGACAGTTAAGCTGCAGCATTAATTAACAGTTCATCTCATGAGACATCCAAATGGTGCAAACAAACCGCAACTTCCACCATAGCTCAATTACAACACAGGTAGAACTATTTACACAATGCAGTTACAGAGCTAATAGAATTCTGTTCACTCTTTTCCTCCCAATTTACTAGTCCAAGTGTTGTAAAGTATTAGGTGGCATCAATTAGCAAAGTTAGCCTTGTTACAGAAATTCAAAGTTCCAAAAAGATAAAAAAAATTCTCCATCTTGAACACAGTTGCCACTCTCCTGCAGAGGCACAGAAATCTCTCTCTAATCTTCTTGCACTTCTCAAATCCTCTAACATACTGTTATTGCAGGAGAAAGGTGGTTCCACTGACATCAGAAAAAGGAAACATGTAAAAGTTATCAAGGTCAAGGAACAGTAATCACCAAATTTCTGCTTATGTGTATCCCTTTCTAGAAAAATAATCTTACTTTGTGCTTACACAAGGGAAGGGAGTGTACCACTGTAGACAGACCAAATGCCTTCCTCCCCAAAGCACCTTACTAGAGATGAATTTGGACTAAATAATGGGAATATCTTGAAGACTAACAGAATTCAAAAGGAAAATAAGGCATTCAAGAAGACTCCCATTTCTGAGCCTCATCTCTCTTACTCCCAGTTAGGAATGCCCTAAAGAATCCTCCTGTGAAGCAACAGACATGTGCTGACTTAATTCACCCATACACACACTGGCTGCAGATCCCAGGTTTCTTCAGTAGGAGGATCCCAGGCATGCAGTGCTATCTTCCACAGCCTGATCTGCTGGTCCCAGGATCTACGGCTGTACTTCTTAAATTTGTTGGGAGTTCTAGGATGAACTCCTGGTATTCGCTGATTCCTGTAAATACAAAGTAACATTTATTATTTCAGAACATGTTTTTCATTCTTAAAAAAAAAATAATCCTCAGTCCATCAGATAACACAGGCATCAGTGGCCTAATAAATAAAACGTTCATATTTTAAACACTTAACTGAAATGCATATATTCTAAAACATAGTCAAAAACAGACCACACAAGCAACCACTAACAAGAACATGCTGAGTCAGACTGGAGTTACATCCAGGGCAGCACTCTGACAGCTGCCAAAAGCAGATCCCTACTGCCCATGGACAAATATGAAACAGAAGAAGTGTAATTCATATTCCTTCAATAGTATCCTAGCCTCCAGCTACTTCTATCTCAGTTTTCTCGAGTCAGGTGTAGCTTCTGTGTGTTTAGTATTGTACTGAGTCTGGCTAGGATGGAGTTAACTTCCTTCATAGCTGTCCCTGTAGTGCTGTGTTTTGGATTTATGGCTAAAACAGTGCTGATAAGACACAAATTTTTGGCCATTACTGAAAAGTGCTTGCATGGCTTCCAGGCCTTCTCTTTTTCCCCGCACTCTGCCCCTGCCCCACTCCCTCCTGCAGCCACTAAGTTGAGGAGGAACAAGAAGTTGAGAGGTGAAACC